CTATTACGTCTGTGTTTCATTAAAGCTCTGCTCTGTGTGTGTGTGGAACGAGCCATTTTGTGTGCGCGAGCGAGAGAGAGAGCGCACCGGTACCGGAGATCATTGTTGTTAGCTTCTGGTGCTAGCGAGCTATGCTAACATATAAGGAGTTTTTTCAACAACAAAGTGGAGGAGAGTCCTCTCCTGTCAGACTGAGAGACTCAGTGAACTAAAGGACTCTCTCAGTGTTATCTCAGTGGGTCTCAAACGTTTTGGTCACCATTAATGTAAACAATTATTTCCGAGGCACACATTTATATGATCATTATAGTTTAAAAAAAACAAGAGAATAAATGAAAAACAGCTATGAAATACTATATGACAGTAAAAAAAGAATAAAGTTTAAAAGGGGAATGTCAGTGATTTGTAAAATATCCATAAAGAAAAAGTAAATCTGTTTCCAGTTCTGTTTCATATGGGTGTTGAGAGAGGTATCCATAGAGCTCTTCATGTTGCTCTCAAAGTGCACCAGATTGATGCTTTCAACTTCAATATTGAAAAATCTTCCCGGGGGAGCATGCCCCCGGCCCCCCCTATGTGAGGTCCACACACCACCTATGAAAATAGCACTTGACCCCTGCTTACGTATGCCGTGAGCTGATTATCGAGCCTTCATTCTAACAGTCACGGGTACGTTATGTATTTGCGTGGGGAGTGTTGCAGTAGAAAATTAAACTGTAGCGCCCGGTACATTAATGGGAAACCCTAAATGTTTGAGCACCCTCTATGAAACGTCAAGCTACCCCACAGCACCCCCAAAATAAATCTCTGGCGCCGCCACTGAGCCTGACTATTTGTGTTGGGGGGGCCCGACCTTTTTTTTTCTCCAAAGGGGGGGCCTGACAGAAAAAGTTTGAGAACCACTGAGTTACAGTATCTGACAGTACAGTGTTACCTGTCTGTTACTGTAAGACTGCATTGTATGTGTGGTCTAAATCTTAAAACACTCAAAATCTAAATCTTAAGAGTTTTATAAAGTGCTCTTGAACAACTGCTTGTGTTGACAGAACATTTAACAGTTGTCAACTTTGGTACGAAACTTGTAACACTCAGACAATAGTATTCAGAAATACTTTATGGACCAAGTGTTGGCCAAAGAGATTCACTATTAGTGCTTGAGGGGTAAAACCAACAGGACTGCAGCATCCATTCACTTCCTGTCCTGTAGGAGAACACTGTTCAACTCCTTTACCCTCCAACAACAAACATATGTCTTTGTCTTCATCTAAATGTCTTAAGCACATTCTGCCTGCAGCGTCTGAAATAACGAGAACCATGAAGGCGACCCTCGAGATGTCCCGGTGACTTCCTGTAGAGGGGAGATCTGTGTGGTCTGCATGTTTTAACAGGAGGATGAGAAACAAATGGTGATGTGATGCAACTCAGAGGAAAGTCACTGTGGAGGATTCAGGGTGAGGAAGAGGTTCAGCTGCTGGAGCAAATCTTTCCTGAGCAAATTAATCAAACGTTAGTGAAGGGAAAATAGTCTGCATCTCTGTTCTCCAAATGCCTGCCATGCTTTCCCTTTGAATAGTGAGGGTTAATTAGTTCACTGTCATATTAACGGTAAAAGTGGTTAAGTGAAATGATGCTGTGATACTGTCACAACAAGCACAGACTTTTCAAAGAGAGTCATTGTTTAAATAATGGAGACATTGCTATTAAATAGATTTATTGGCTTTATTCATTTACCCTTTTTTGGTGTTTTTGATTCGAACCCTGCTGTAAGGACTCAGCCATATGTACATTTTGTAATAAAGCCTTGAAAGATGGTGATTTGAATGTGTGCAAATAGATGTGTTGTAGGCATGTTCTTCACTGGTACTGGTCATTGTTCTTTAATATGTTGCAAATGTATTATCTCTTCGATTTACACACGGCATCTATTGCACGTCTGTCCGTCCTGGGAGAGGGATCCCTCCTCTGTTGCTCTCCCTGAGGTTTCTCACATGTTCCCTTTAAACTGTGGGTTTTCTTCGGAAGTGTTTCCTTGTACGATGTGAGGGTCTAAGGACAGAGGGTCTAAGGACAGAGGGTGTCGTATTGTCATACTGATATTCTGTAAACACTGAAGTCCACTGAGACAAATGTAACATTTGTGATATTGGGCTATATAAATAAACATTGATTGATTGATTGATTGATAATATATATAAACTCACATTTGGCATCTTAAAACCCATCGTATCACCAAATACAAACTGGCTTTCTGTGACTCCAGTTCGCTTATCTTAGACTTTAAGGTACCACAATTGGATGATATGAAAAAAGAAATGATTGCCCAACACTAGTTTCTGGAGAGAAAGCCAAATCAGAAATCAACCAGTACTCCAATGTATCATGAAACATTACTACATAGACCCAGGACTTCTATGTGGCAATTACTACAACCCAATAGTGATTATCCGCTAAGTAAATTTGGCAATGGGAAGTTATATCAAACATGGCCAAATCATTAGTTAACATGGAGGAGAGCTCAGACCTCCACCAAGGCAAAATGTCTTATCTCTAAATGCTATCAAAAGTAAAAAAATAACTTGTGTACCCACCCAAGATCTGGATCCACTCAAAATGTTAATGAGGTCTTCTGTGGCCCGTGCTACACCCTTCCACTGAGCGTAAAGAAAATCAAGCTGGTAGTCATGCTCACAAACAAACAAACCATAATGAAAATAATAAGCTGCTTGGCGGGGATAATAATTGACGTTGTTATTCTTCTTTAGCAGCACAAATTCCATTACAACATTAGCATTAAATCAAAGTACCACAAACATGGCCCCTCAGGGCGTGGGGCCCCCAAAGGCAGTTGCCAAAATGTACACTTAACTTTGTATTTCTTTAACCCCTTAAGGCAATATAAACTATGTAGAAATGAACTCAATTAAAACAAGATTACAGAAGTTGAACACGTTGGAAACATTTTCCACGCCGAGTGTGTAGATGCTACAATCTGGATTATCTGTCACATGACCTGAGGTATGCATTGTGTGTGTGTGTGTGTGTGTGTGTGTGTGTGTGTGTGTGTGTGTGTGTGTGTGTGTGTGTGTGTGTGTGTGTGTGTGTGTGTGTGTGTGTGTGTGTGGCGGCTTGATGAAAGGGTTATTTGTGTTGGCTTTTAATTGACTCGCATTCCAGCCTCTGTTCCTCTGTTCAGAGAATCCAACACCTCCGTCTCTCAGAGAACTGAACAAACAGCAAACCACACACACACACACACACACACACACACACACACACACACACACACACACACACACACACACACACACACACACACACACACACACACACACACACACACACACACACACACACACACACACACACACACACACACACACACACACACACACACACACACACACACACACACACACACACACACACACACACACACTCCACCTGTCTGTTCACACCACCAACACTTCAACGTGTCACCTCCGCAATCACCACAAGTCTGTGGGTCTAAAACCAAAGCAGCAGCTACGACAGCAGGGAACACACACACACACACACACACTGTCACAAACACACATTTTGTAACCAGCTTTAAAATGCATGGAGGTGAAGAGCCAATAGAAAACCTTATCAGGTGTCAACAAACAAACAGAGAGAGCAGACTCAAAAGCTGAAGAGACGAGACAACTCCCTCATCAAACGTATCCACCCTGCGTGTGATCACGATGGAACAGTGGCAGTGGGATAGTCGACATACTGAGCTGGAGACGGATGGAAGTCCTGTAGTGCCAGTTCAAGTGTACAACAATATGTTAAGTTGAATAACTAAGAGAGGATTACATTTCAAATGAAGCCTGCATGAGAAACAGGGAAATACCAGGGTTGAATATTGAAAATAATGATAATACATTAAAGTGCATGAACTTCAGCCTCACTGCTGTTTTCAGTTTACTGCTCAAAGTAACAAATGCATGTTACATTTCAAAAAGAAGTCCAACGAACTAAACACCAAAGGCACCAATAAAAACAGTAATAGTAACATTTAAAAGTGGTATTTTTAACCACGTATAAAAGTCCTTGCTTGCAAAATCGCAGTCTTTCTCGTGTTGGCTTTGATAGCGATTAAACAACGATGTATTGTGCAGCTCTGAGAAAAGGATTTGAAACGGTATGAATAGTGAAAGCTTGGGAGTTAAAAGAGACAACAGATGGGAACATGTGAGAGCTGAGAGGACCTGAAGTGAAGTGAAACAATGTAAAAGGAGGTGAGCTGTCAATCACTGATTAAACAGAAGACCTCATGAGGTGTCAACAAACAAACAAACAGACAAGAGACAAGAAAAGTAAAGATCGGGTGGCTTTACAGACAGAGCAATCAGGCCAGCTGGATCAATAAGGGAATAACATCACTTTACATTTGGGCTGAATAAAGGTGGGAATGGCAGCCTCAGAAAAAAAAAAGAATTGCATTAAAAGCTTAAAAATAGTTCAATTAAAACAATTGTTCTTAATATACATCGCTAAATGTTAAATAACAGAAATTGAAGCCAACATTCTCTCAAATATATCCTCTTGTGCTTGTATTTAAAGTATCAGAGCAAAGTGTAGAGTTAAGGCAAGATTTCTGTCAGTTTGACCTAAACATTTAGAATATTTTGTTTTGCATTTGAATGACCTTTAAGTGGTAGAAATGGTTAACTGAGGGAAAAACCTAGAGAAATATAAGACATTCGTTCATTCAAGTTGTATAGTTTTATTTCTGAATGGCTGATTTACTTATTGTCTTATTTAACTGAACAACTTGGAAACTCTGCTAATTAAGTTTTTACTGGAGTTGATCAACCCCATGCAAAACAGCCTAAACCACCTTGGATGTTCCCTCTATGTTCTCCTGCTCTTTCCCCCTGATTCTTGCACACTTCTTCAACTTTTATGAATGAACCTCATAATGAAATCCGGTCTCAGTCTCGTTAAACGCACAATCTGCGGGGTGTTGGACTCACATAAACTTTGTGGAAGGTGTCGCCGAAGAAGTACAGAGATCCGTTGAGAGGCAGCTCTGCGGTGGAGTCGGACCCGGGTTTCAGCTGCTGGTCTCCGGCTTCTTCTCCGAACTCAAACAGCTCCTCCAGCTCCAAAGCATGGGTCAAAACACTCAGGCTCAGCAAGCACGACCAGAACCACAACCAGCTCCGGTACCGGGGACTCATTTTCTCCACAAATGCTCCACAGATAAAGTTAGAAATAGCGGTGTTTCTTGGAGAAGTAAGCCGGGGATCAGGTGAGATGAGCGGGTAACAAGAGGCAGACTGATGGGAAAGGAGAGGCGGGAGGAATGGATGGATGGAGGAACAGCGGAGGTAACAGCCCGAGGGGCTGGAATTTAAATATCAAATGCAATGACTTCCGTCAACTTTTGTTTTTCAAAATAAATGTCTCATTTAGTGGTGAAAAAGTACTTCCGATTTTTCACGTTAAGTAAATGTAAAAAATTAATGAGAAAATAGGACTGCTGAATAAAAAATAAAATGCCTTAATTAAAAAATAATTTGAATCGTGTCGTGTTTCATGTTGAGACGATTTTAAATACTTTAAAAATACTGATTAGTACAATACTGCATGATGTCATTCAAGCATAGCATGTGTTTTTATAAATAAAATGTGTCAGATAACCATGCGGTTTAAAGTAGGAGTGTGTAAGTTAGTAGCAGGACATTGAAATACTGTTTATATAACTTATTTTATAACACTTTAAAATCCTAAGTCTTCTACAGAAACAGACAGTCATTGAAATATTGGAGACACGGAGGTTGTCGTAAATAAACTAAAAGCTTAACACTTACTAAGATCATCTAGAGATGGACAAAGTCGCCATCTTGTGGACACATAGTCTAACTGCAAAACGACTCCTTTTTACCATTTCTTCTCCTCACCATCCTCCCTTAAAGGGGACAGATGCTCATGTTCAGGTCCATATCAGTATGTAGTGTCTCTACTGTGACATGTCTCCATGCTTTAATGTTCAAAAAGCTCTTTATTGTTCTCATACTGCCTGTGCTGCAGCACCTCTTTTCACCCTCTGTCTGAAACCAGAGCCCAGTCTGCTCTGATTGGTTAGCTGGCCGGCTCTGTTGTGATTGGTCAACCGCTTAGAGATGTCACGCCACTTAGCCTATCACATACAATGTGTTGGAGCGCTAGCCAATAGAAGGCAAATGTTACATAGTGATGTCACTATGTTCTTGAAGTAAACAAAGGAGTCCATGAACACAAGATTTTAACCTGAGCAGACCATTTACATGCACAAAACCCATATAACACACTACAGGATAAAGGAAACACAGCAAAAAGCACAACAGGGTCCCTTTAAAGTTTCTACCCATCAAACCCTCTTTCCATTTTGTCAAAATGTTCAGAATGGTCTCCTTAACTAAGGCACATGTGTTTGCTTATGGTTGTTACAGAAAGATGGGCAGCTGTGGCTCAGGAAGAGATGGGTTATAAATCAGATGGTCCTTGGTTCGATCCCCGGCAGACTGCATATCAAAGTGTCCTTGGGAAAGATATTGGACCACAGATTGCTTTGGATAAACCCCTAAACTGTTCACGTTGTGCATTTGAATGAGAAAATATGAAAATGCTCTCTGCAGTAGCATGTCTTATGCAGTGCTTGAATTGGAATGAAAAAGGTGCCAGTACTCTAAAATCAGCAACTTTTTCAAGTCAATTTTATATATACAGCCCACAAACAAGAATTTGGCTACTATAATGCTGGTGGGTTTGTCTCTTTACTACTGTATATTTTAGAAAGGTTCACTGTACTTAACATTTTTTATGATAGGCAGCGGATATGGCTAAAGCTCAGTAAGGTCAATATTAACTGAAAATATAGCAATCAAAGTCTAGATCTTCTGCTGAAGACACATGAAGCAGAGACCTTTCAGGTGAGAGCCCCTCTGGTGGTGTTCAACATTAATGACAAGGAAACAAAGCTCTGGTCAGAAGCATTTTTTATAAAAAGCTTTAACAAAATTAAGTAGTTCTGTACATTTTGAATGCAATCTAACTTTCCAACTCAGAAACGAAAAAGTGCCAAAAGTCTTCTCACATGGCTGAGCTGCTTTGCAATATACTTCACCACTGAAGAATACAAATATGTATAAAGTAAACTATGATGCAATCTAACTTTCCAACTCAGAAAAATGATAAAGAGCATGAACAAAGAACATGTAAAAACAAATGCAAAATTTGCACAATCTAAAATGAGAAACTGTAACTGCAAGTAACAAAGTCTGAGCCATGGTAAAGAGTTACATTGAACACCAAGCTGATCAGTTAACTCCCTGGTTGGTCTGAAGTCCTTCTATCTCCAGGATCTGTACAAATCGGCACATTATGCCAAAAGTCTTCTCACTGGGTGAGCTGCTTTGCAATATACTTCACATTGTTAGAAAAGGCTCCAGAAGGCCTTGGGGACATCAGTATCAGGGGCTGGAGCTGGACAGGCTCTTTCATCAGCACTTCTCCTTCCCTTTGCCAGCCAGGACCTCACATACTGTTCCGGATTGAACTGTCCTAGTGATGGTCCATTACATTTAATGAAAACCAGGCTGGACAGTCGGCTGACAGAGAGAGCATTCCTTTTTGCAGTAAGGATATCGTTCATGCAGCTGAATGCCCGCTCACACTCACTAGTGGAGACAGCGATGGTTCGGACTGCTTTCAGTAGAGGCTCCATGACAGCAGGTGTACGGGATGCCCTGGTTTCCTTGTATTCGCGAAAGCCCTGAACAGTCTCTCTTCTGTCCACTTTCAGCACTTCGCACAAACGTAGCACCTCTACGTCCCCATACTGTACGTCTAACTCCTCTTCAGGCCAACTTCCAGGATGGATAACTTTCATGTCCTGGATTAGCTGATTGTCCCGGGCCTCCCGGCCATGTAATGGGATTTCTCTTGTGCTGACATGAGAGGAGGTTGTGGAAGTCATTCTGTGTCTCAGATTCTCTACCATACTGCGGAAAAACTGACCTGCATGAATCTGTACAAGCCTGCCATTCTCACGCAGGGCAACACCCTTGAAGGACTTCTCAGCTAGAGCTGTATGAACTGTAGTCATGTGTGGGCCAGGCATGGTGACCATGGATTCAAAAACTCGTATTTCTCGAGTTAAGAGCCTATCTGCTGTAGGCAGTGTCATCTCTCTTTTTTGGAGTTGCCGAGAGAGGTCGCTGAGCTCTGTGAGCGCATCGTACATCAGTCCCAGATTGCTGACAAACGTTGCAGATGTGAGCACATCATCCAGGCCCTTGTACTTTGCTCTGTCTCTGGAATCCCTGCTCGTGTCGTTTGCAGCATTTTTGAAGTGATCATGAAGCACTCGGTAGTTTTCCCAGACTGCTCTGACGCTCCTTTCACTTGAAGCCACCCAGCGGATGGACAAAACACGCCCTATCACCAGGAGACGCTGTCCGACTGCTTGCGCACACTGCGCTAACTGCCTCTGATTTTTGGGGGAGGCATGGAACAAGGAATAGAGTTTGTCAAAAAAGATCTGGAAATGATTGAGCCCTGAGACCTCCTTGACCACATCCCCAACTGCCAGCTCTAGACGATGATTGGAGCAGTGCCACACAAACAGGCTTGGGAATTTACTACACAACTGGGTAGCAACGCCTGTTCTCTTCCCTAGCATGACTGAAGCCCCATCACATGCAAAAGAAACGAAACACTGACCTAAAAAGTCCTCGTTAAAATCTCTTCCAAGACACTCCATTAACGCCTTTGTGATGTCATCAGCCGTTGTTCCATCCAACTCGATCAGCTCCCAAAAAAACGTTTCGGGCTCAGCATCAGCTAATGCTGAGCGTAGACACACAACAAGCACCGTTTTACCACTAATAGTGGTAGATTCATCGACCAAAACACAGAGTTTTCTTTGGTTTTCTGTAATGTCTTTTGCCATTTTTTTCTTCAGCTCATGAGCTATGTGGTCGATGATTTCGCCACAGGTTTTATTGGAGTGCAAAACTCTGCCCACGTTCAGCCCATTCAGTTTCTGTACATTCAAATCAATTGGCATGTCTGTGAATGGCCGGCTATGTTTGCCAATTTTATATGCCGTTCGAAAAACTCTGATAGTGGTGTCTAATTCAGATTTATGCATAGACTGCACTTGATGTTGAATAGTTTCACGTGAAGCAGATGTAAGGATGTCAGCAGCTTTTACATGGGCTTGTGATTCTTTATGTTCTTTGATTTTTTTTCTCAGGCTAGCTTGTTGTTTGCCCTTGTCAACACCGAAATGAGACACTGCACACTCACCCCATTCAGTTGACAGTTTCAGTCCTTGTCCAGTGTGTATTCCCAAATATTTGACATCTCTGCATATCCGACATCCTAGCTTCTTATCTTTAAGAAGGAGCCATGCATTGGTCTTGCAAAAATATTGCACCTGGTCCGTTGTCCAGCAGTCAGGTGCATCGCTTTGCCCGGTGTTGGTGGTGGCAGTTGCGCCAGCAGCAGCTAACGTTAGAGGCTCTGGAGGAGGCGGCGGAGCTAGTGCTAATGCTAATGCACTAGAACTTGGAGCAGGAGGATCAACCAAAGAAAGCTCCCCATCAGACACAATTTCCAACACAGGCACAGCATTCTCTGTATTTGAAGTTTCTTCCGGCGACAACCGCTGTCTTTTTGCACTTTTATTAATCCACGCTAACATTTTAGAAATGCTAATTTGTGACGTGACTTGCTTTCCTTCTCTCGGGGGCGTGCCTGCTCTGTTCTATCACTCTACATAGCCACCCACTGGGTGGGAGTTGCACTGCATAAACACAACACACGTGCATCTAGGTATGTAAATTGTAAAGCATTAAAACATGGTTTTACTAACAGTTTTCAGTATGTTGTTACTTCGGCATTATTATTATTATTATTTTGAAACGTGTATTACTATTAAATCACGGTCAAATAGGTTAATTTTGACATAGTCGTTTCCACCACAGTATTTACATGGAGAATATAAGCCCCGCCCCCTCTCCAGCACGTTCTGTTTGAATGACAGGAGTAAACAGCTGACAGCCGCTGTGAAACTCCAGCGGTTAGAGCGATGAGAATGTCCGTTCGGCACCTCATGACGCATCTACTGAGTACCGGGCGGCTGTATATATATATATGGATGTATAATAAGAACGGCAGGAGAGTGTTGAGTACTGGCACGGTGCATGAGTACCGGAGTACCGCCAGCATGCCGGTACTGAGCAAGAAGTGCCGGTACTCCATGGGTCAGAACCAGAAGTGCCGGTACTGCGTACCGGTGAGTACCGGCCCAATTCCAGCACTGGTCTTATGTCGATGTCTTTATCTTATTGTATACACTTGGAGTCACGCTCAATAATAACACGAGGAGTTCATTGGGTTTTCAGGCGGCGTTGAAAAAAGTTCCTTGCTGAGGTTTACAATATTTATGTTCTGTCAGGGTGCGTTTAGTCCTGGCAGCAGAGCAGAAAAGCTCTCTGGAACTTTTCATTTCAATACTGAGGTACAAATACTTGTCATTATTACTACTTATAGCATCACTGCATGAAACGTCTCTTAATGTATGACATGTTCAAATCAGTCACTCTCTGAAGAGCTCGGTTGATCCATTTCTTGATTATAAGAAGGTCAATTATATTCATGTCAAAATAAATAAATAAATAACATGGTAGTTTTATAGCGCTTTGCTAAGTTCATATGTAAGGAGTCAAAGGTTAAAAACAACCACAATGTTAGCTAAATAATTTACGATATGTTTTATTTTATAGGCTAATATGTTTGTTGTCTTTTTTTGTATGATGTTAACACAACATGTAAATTAAGCAAATGATGTGCTGGAATGGAAACATAAAGTAACATTAACAATATTAAAGTATAGGTTAAGATTCAAGGCTTTCTTGTCTTATGCACACATCCTCAAACTATGCAAGATAAATATATACATAAGGCAACAAACAATAAAACAATACAAATAGTGCAAGAACAAACAGAACAAAAGTAAGAGAGTGAATGTATAATGTTTTAATAATTATTATAATTACAACGTTCTTGTTACGTGTCGCAGTTGGTGCTTGTGTGTGTGTGCTTTTGTGTGTGTGTCTCTGGGTGTTTTCTCAATCGCGAGGATGCTGGCTTGGTAGTCGCGTACTTCCAAGTCACTTCCTTCAGAAACGAAGCAAGTATGCTTCCAAGCCACGGCTTCGGAAAACGAAGAAGAATGGAACAGGCTAACAAGTGTGCCACTTTCTCTAACGGTTTCAACATAAACTGTACCGAAAATAAATACCTCACGATGTCTATCTAATTATGAACCTGCTTTACTTTCACGGAACACATTTTTGGTGATAACAAACAAATGTAACAAAGTAACATATTTACCAACACATGTTCTACGCCACTACATACTTACATTTAAAGTGTGCTGCGTCGGTTCATCCATTCTCCGCAAGGGTTTTTGAAATTGGTCCGTGCGCAAAGCATTGTGGGGATTTTAAGGACGCAAAGTCTACCCATGTGTAGCCTCGAAATTTCCCCCAAACCAAGGACGCGGCCTCGGTGGAATTCCAAGTATGCTGGAGATTGGAACAGTCCTTCGGCGGCACTCGATGACGTAGCATCCTTGAAATATTGGCTTGGAAGGCAGAATCCTCGAGATTGAGAAACGGCCTCTCTCTCTCCCTGATTGTCTCCAGGTGCAGCCTCTCCCCAATCAGGGCCTCCATAAAGGACCTGAGGAAGGCTGCAGTCGCTCTCTCCTTCTCCTCTGGCTGCATGTGTGCAGCATGTCTCTGTGTGAGGCCTGTGTTCTTGTGAATTGTTAGGAGATGTGCTCCAGTTTACCTTTTCGTGTATTGTTTATTTTATTTTGCTTTGCAAGTTGGCTGGTGAGCCCTTTTTCTTTTGGCCATTAAAACCTCACTTTGTGGCTTCAGTACACAGTTTCCTCTCCTTTTTCTCTCGCCCGGTTATTTGGGTGTTTTGTTACTTCCCTTTGTACCCCTAGTTAGGAGGGAACGTAACAGTTCTAAACATGTTTTATAATTAAGTAATTGAGGAAATGTACTTAGTTACTAACCAACACATAAGAGAAAGTCTCCTAAATAGCCATTTCCTAATGCCTTCACACATACACACACACACACACACACACACACACGCACACACACACACACACACACACACACACACACACACACACACACACACACACACACACAGGTGTTAATAATGGTTTATAAAGCATAACTACTGTGCATAATACAACGTTAAACATGAAGTACAATGACTTTCAAATGACAATCTTTTTTGATAACCTCGTCCAAATATCTAAAGTATTTAATATTTCCTTCAAATCCACGTCATCTTTTAGCGTGAAAGTAAACTGAATCAAATGAGTTGGATATAAAAAATGGAGTGTGTGTCTCTGTCGTCAGCGTGAGGAGACGAGCTGCTTCCTGTATTATCTAACAACTGCCTGTTATGTAAAAGCAGAGAAGAAGAAGTGCGGAGGGAGGAGGAGGAGGAGGAGGAGGAGGAGGAGGAGGAGGAGGAGGAGGAGGAGGAGGAGGAGGAGGAGGATGAGGAGGAGGAGGAGGAGGAGGAGGAGGATTAAATGAGTGTTGTACTGATAGTAACTTCAGTATTGTCACTTATCCTGCAGTGTAACCGGATGAATGTGATGCTACACATATTTCTACTACCGAACCAATCAATACTGCACTGATTGTCTGCTTGAAAGAAATTATCTAGAAATCTAAATGTCGAGGCGCCAATCTTTAAAAAAAAAAAAACACTTCTTATTTTGTCAATTTAAAAGACATTGGGGTCGATTCTTGAATTACTCATGATCTCTAATGAATAAACTCTAAATAAAACCTCCCAAAATGAAAGTGTTTTTTATATTATTTTGTGATTTTTTAGGAATATTTTAACAATTTTGATGTGGGCATTTTACATGTTTGAAAGGAGTAGTTTGAATTTGTGTGGCATTGTACCTTTTAACCCCTTATAGGTGTTTATTAAATCTTCATCAATTTATGAGTCAATAATTATTCACACAATTATAATTAAATAAACCCCACGTGTTTAACTGCTGCCACAAACCACGTTTTTCTATATCCATCCGTAGCTGTCTGAAAAAAGCGGTATCAGTCAAAGCTGCCTGCATGACGCTGCTGTGACGCAGTTAGTGTGTGTGTGTGTGTGTGTGTGTGTGTGTGTGTGTGTGTGTGTGTGTGTGTGTGTGTGTGTGTGGTGAGTGGTACCACAGCTCCCACCTCTCTCTCCTTCCATCTCTCCACCTTCCTCTCCTCTCTGCAGCATCCTCCTCCTGCTCAGCCAATCGCCTGCTGGGGACTGTGATCACATGACCCCCAGCCACCAATCGCTCTGCACCAGGCACCGGCAAAAAGAGGGGTGGTGTCTCTCCTCCTCCTGCTGCTCTCTGTGAGTCAGATCGTGTGTCTGGAGGAGAGTGGATGGATGTGGAGGATCCGTCTAACGCTCTGAGACACGTTTCTTCTTCTTCTGCTCCACCCAGAGATCAGCGCTGTCTTCCCTCCCTCCTCTGTGGGGAACAGGAGGGATGAATGGGGAGGCGATGGAGGGGATCCTGGAGCAGCAGCATGCCGGTAACGACTCCCACCTCCCTCCCCCTCCCACCATCACGCCGGCGATCCCCCCCTACGTGAAGCTGGGTCTCACCATCGCCTACACCATCTTCTACTCGCTGCTCTTCGCCTTCGTCTACGCCCAGCTGTGGTTGGTTCTGAGATACCGACACAAGCGCTTCAGCTACCAGACGGCCTTCCTGTTCCTGTGTCTGCTGTGGGCCGCCCTGAGAGCCCTCCTCTTCTCCTTCTACTTCAGAGACTGTGTGACCGCCAACGCTCTCGGACCCTTCGCCTTCTGGCTGCTCTACTGCTTCCCCGTCTGCCTGCAGTTCTTCACGCTCAGCCTCATGAACCTCTACTGCGCTCAGGTGAGGGGAAACGGGTCCACAATGTGCTTTAACTTGTCTCCTGGTGCTTTAACTTGTCTCCAGGTGATGTAGAGGTGTACTTCAGGGTGTGTTGGTACACTGTGACATCATTAGGTCACAGCTGGGTGTGGTTACAGGTATTCCTCTGACCACACCCATCAGACTGCAGCAGACTTTGAACCTCCAACCAGAGAGGGCAGCAAAACTCAGTTTTTCAGACTGGTGTTAAGTTTCTCTTTAACCTCTTTAAAGCTCCTTACACACCGAGCCGATTTTCGGCGTCGATAGATGTCGGGCCGTCGATGAGCGTCGTGTCGCCCTACTCAGATTGGTGTGTCTTGGTGTGTACTGCACCGTCGTGTCTTTTCGGCCGTGCCGACACCTTCCGCTGCCGATTCGACATGGGGAGGCCAAAGGCAAAATAAATCACTCTGATTGGCTGTTCAGCTTAGCGAATCAGTGCATGAGAAGCGAAACGGAAGTGAGGGACCCAAACAGACCCAGCTCTCGACACAGGTTCGGGAAAGCCCCATGAGCTTCTCGCTGTCGAGCAGTGTTGTGCTAGTTACTGAAAACCAGTAACTAGTTACCATTACTAGTTACTTCATTTCAAAAGTAACTCAGTTACTTTACTAGTTACTTAAACCCAAAAGTAATGCGTTACTGTGAAAAGTAACGTTTTAGTTACTTAGGAAAAGGGCTCCCATTAATGCCCTTATAGCCTTCATTTCAGTACTGTTATTGCATTGGGGGAATAATACAATCTGTTGATCAACTTGACATGCATTATATGCAATCTGGATTGCATCGATATTAGCTGGCTTTCCATTTTTGTATATTCTTTCTCCAGGTAGTTGGAAAACGTTTTCCGTCCCATATGCCGTGTGCCGCCCGGACATGCTATCATGCTAACTAGCTCCCTGAAAGCGGGTGACTCCACTGTAGCAATAGCCTGCATGTATTCTACAACATACCGTGCAATGGCTTTATCGACTTTTCCCTGGCTAGCAGTCCCTCGGTTAAAATCCAGCCGCTGTTGCTTAGGTGGAGGTGGAGTGGCGTCGGCTGAGTCTCTGTGGTCTTAGCTACTAGCTTCGTCCCAGCATGTTGTTTTTGCAGATGTTTTAAGAGATTTTAATTACTGGTTTAGGCAGTAGATAGGATCTTTGACCCGCCAAGACACAACTTACATTTAACTAAAACCTTCTTTTCTTTGTGCTCGACAAAAGTGAAATAGTGAGAATATCTCCAGGTGGAGAAACTAGATTGAGCTCCGCCGCCGCCATGATAGTCTTGTTAGTAAACAACACAAACACGCCCACAGCGCGTCTCCGCATGTGACACAGGAAGTATCTAAGTACAGTTCTCATCTCTGTTCGCCTGGCTGTTGACTATATAAAAAAAACTAACGGAGTAACGCACCATGTAGTAACGGTAACTGAGTTACTGAATTTAAAAAGTAATGCGTTAGAGTACTAGTTACTGCCAAAAATACAGTAACGCGTTACTTTGTTACGTGTTAGTCCCAGCACTGCTGTCGAGTGCAAATGGAACGCACACGCTATTTGTTGTTTGTTTATATCTCGCAGTCTGTTCTTCTTCTCTCGGTTATCACGCAGTCTGTCTTCCGGTTGTTGCCTCTTTTGAATGACGAATACACACTACCGCCGCCTGCTGGTAAGGAAAGTTATTGCCACTCACGCATGCGCAGTTCGTACGTGCAACTTGGCCATCGGCTGAAGTCTTTGCGGTGTGTTCCGGTGCGACACATGGCCAAGACGCAGGAGACGTGAGGCGACGTTCTGTCGGGACGTGTTCTTTGGTGTTCTTTGGTGTTCTTTGGTGTCAGTTTGGTGTGTAAGAGGCTTTAAACCTACAGGATCCACCATTGTATCCAGAATAATGAACTCAAGTTCTGCAGCTAAAACTGAGTATTGTTTCTAGTTGAGATCTTAAAGTCTCCAATGAATGTGTCAGGCTGACACTTAAGGAAATGGTACTATGGACAAAACCAGTGCTGGTTACTCCAACTAATCTGTCAAACGTCTGAGTTTTAATGAATCCTCGCTCAGACAGGCTGCATGCTACTGGGTCAGTCTCTCACATCTCAGAGCCCTCACCGTTACTTTGACAGACAAACCAAGAACCTAAAGGAAATGGAGGATCTCGAATGGAATCATCTTTAAAGGTCCCATGTCATGGCCATTTCTACTGATCATAATTCCATTGTTGAGGTCTACTAGAATAGATTTATATTGTGCAATTTTCCAAACTCACATTGGTTTCTCATACAGCATCTCTGTATAGTATGTGTATTCACTCTCTGTCCTAAACGGCTTGTTGAAGCTCCTGCACCCCCCCCCCCCCCCCCCCCCCCCCTGATTGGTCAGCTCGCCCACTCTGTTCTGATGAGTCCACCACCGTTCACAGCGGACCATCAGTGATTATGTTTTACAATGGTGTTTGTTAGCAACCAGAAAATGACACCAGTAATGACAAACAGATGAGAATACTGCGTGGGGTGTGGGTGCCGTGTTGGCGGGACGTTGCGGGGCTCGCTGCTCCGCCCTTTGAGGCTCGAGGAGCGCACAGTGTGAGCTGGCTTGCTGCGCGGGATCTGCGAGACAGCGAGACACAGCGAAACCCAGCCTGAACCCAGCCCGAGCAAATGGACCAATCCGCGGAGACGTTACGTCACTATACGTCACTGTACTTACTACACTACAAGAAGAAAACAATGGAAAAAGAAAAATCCCCAACGAGGCGTTCTGGGGCAGCATAGACAGGTATTTTCTGTGTTAGAGTTTTACTCGCTACAGGGTGTACTTTGAGGGTTTGTGACTCTGCAGACAGTTTACATGCAGAAAAACCTTCATAACACACAAGGGGACGGGTAATAACCAGAAAAGCATGACATGGGACCTTTAAAACCTCAAACGTCTACACAGCACACTGTGAAATGTAGCCATTTAGTATTAAGAGCTAGCTACTTCCAGTCTACACTTCCTAAACTTCCTGCTACACCAAGCCCCTACGAATTAAGATACTGAATCTTCAAAAGTGTTATTTCTATTCAGGGGCGCCGTAAGGGGGTGAAAAGTTAGGACGATTCTAAGGGCCCGTGACTGACAGGGGCCCAAACAATTTTAGAACATTAAGAAAAAAATGTTTAAATAACCAATGTGGTATCTTTTCATGGGGCCCAAAATCCCTGGCGGCGCCCCTGTTTCTATTAACCAGTCAGAGCTTGGTAGGTGAAAAATAGAATGGAGACGACTTCGATGTAGCTACGGCCATGAATGTTAACAACATACAAAAGGCCACAAAAGTCTGACATGCATGGACGAGACAGTTGTACAGGTTGACTGAGAGGAGAAATTACTCTTTATCTTCCATGAGAAAGTCTTAAGTTTGAGTTGCAGATACAGAACGTGTTTGTTCCTAGCCTAAATGCTATTTCTTTTCAAAGTGAAATTCAATGTTCAGGTAATTGACACATTTGGGAATTACAAAGAAGATCTTGGACAAGCTTCACTTTGGTGTGCACCAACTGCTAATTCTGTTTGAACTGAACACGTCAATAGTATGCTTGCTTTTTGAGACACACACTCGAGGTTAAAGGTGATTTTTCTCTGCACTGATATGCAAAAAACTTCGAGGCCCACTTTAAGTTTGTCAAGACAAAGAGATTTAAAATGGATGTGGAGATCAGAGTGTTGCTTGAACACATTTCTACTGGTGGACAGAAGGAGAATAAAACACCACCCCTACAAAAAATGGAGACTTACTCTACAACCTGAATACCTGCAGGCAACCACTGACAACAAACTGCTACGTCAACCAGCCTATGGTTGGATGAATCGTATTACACATTCGAGGATGATCAGCAGCTGCCTCTCCTCTTCGTCCATTCATCCAGCTGCTGGCAGTTCAGAAATAGACCAGAAGATAAAGACATAATAGAAGCTCTTTAGCAGCACTCGTTAATGAGAGCTGAGATGACGCGGGTTATTTTTCCAACCAAACACCACGGTGTCTTATTTCTGTAATGAAGCAAGGTTCCCCTTCAGTCGGAGAGGAGGCAGTAATCGATGAAGTGATTTCTAGACTGGCTCTGAGCAAAGTGCTGGAGGAAGTACTCAGATCACTTACTAAGGTCAAATAAGTGGATCTGAAATGTTAACAGCATCAGTCTTAGTCCATGCACATCAGATAACAAGTCACACTAACAGTGACACTCGTAAAGGATCGTCATTCAATGGCTTCCATCAGGACACCATAGGGAACATATCAGTTTAGTGTCACTTTGAATCATATTACAAACCAAGTGTGAGTCAGAGAGAAAATCTAATTAGCAGTTAACATTTTTCTCCCGACGTAACCAACATAAGACATTTTTTTAAACACAAAGTACTCTCAACTGACCTAACCAAAAAAGCAAAGCCAAACAAAAGACAAGCTTCTCATCTAGGCTCCTAACGTCAAAACAGGAGTAAACCGGGAATATTGAGTAATCAAACAAAAATGGCTTCTCGCTCCTACTGCTAGCTCAAAAAGTTAATAATGACAATAATACAGAGGTTCCTTTCTTAAATAATTCCCCAAACACACATTTGCCACACAGGCCTAAGATTAACACTAACACATATAGTAACTTGCCAAAAGGCCTACGGTACCACACTACTAACACAGATCTAACACATGCACACACACACACACACACACACACACACACACACACACACACACACACACACACACACACACACACACACACACACACACACACATAATGACCCAGGATCATAACAAAGTGTGTAACAATCTTTTTTCTCTCCCATCTACAGGTTTACTTCAAGGCAAAGTCCAAGTACACACCTTCACTGCTCAAGTACAGGTAACTTTTCTTCAAACAACTCACCCTGACTGAATTAAGGGAGTCTGTTTCCCCAATGAAACTCCCACTCTTCCAACATGTATCCAAAAAATCACACCGATTATCAAACTGTGTTTTCTTTAAAAGTATCGACTGATTTAGATCTGTAAAATGCACTTAAAGAGCCCATGTTATGCTTTTTGGGTTTTCCCTTTCCCACAGTGCTTCATATAGGGTTGTGTGCATGTAAATGGTCTGCAAAGGCTAAAATCCCCAAAGGTCCAGAACATTTTGACATCACTTTGTAACACTCACGCTTCTATTGGCTAGCGCTCCAACACATTGTACATGATAGGCCAAGGGGCGGGACATCTCTAAGCTGTTGACCAATCACAACAGAGCCGGCCAGCTAACCAATCAGAGCAGACTGGGCTCTGGTTTCAGACAGAGGGTGAAAAGAGGTGCTGCAGCACAGGCAGTATGAGAGGAAATAAAGAGCTTTTTGAACATTGAAGCATGAAGACATGTAGAGACACTACATACTGATATACACCTGAACATCAGCAGGAGAGGACTCTTTAAAGTAGAGACACTACATATTGATATACACCTGAACATCAGCAGGAGAGGACTCTTTAAAGTAGAGACACTACATATTGATATACACCTGAACATCAGCAGGAGAGGACTCTTTAAAGTAGAGACACTACATACTGATATACACCTGAACATCAGCAGGAGAGGACTCTTTAAAGTAGAGACACTACATATTGATATACACCTGAACATCAGCAGGAGAGGACTCTTTAAAGTAGAGACACTACATACTGATATACACCTGAACATCAGCAGGAGAGGACTCTTTAAAGTAGAGACACTACATACTGATATACACCTGAACATCAGCAGGAGAGGACTCTTTAAAGTAGAGACACTACATATTGATATACACCTGAACATCAGCAGGAGAGGACTCTTTAAAGTAGAGACACTACATACTGATATACAGCTGAACATCAGCAGGAGAGGACTCTTTAAAGTAGAGACACTACATACTGATATACACCTGAACATCAGCAGGAGAGGACTCTTTAAAGTAGAGACACTACATACTGATATACACCTGAACATCAGCAGGAGAGGACTCTTTAAAGTAGAGACACTACATACTGATATGAACCTATAGGGCCGTTTTAACGGTTATAATCTCTTGTTTCTCCTGCAGACTTCCTCTGTACCTCGTCTTCTTCGGCGTCAGTCTCCTCTTCCTCGTGGTTAATCTGGTCTGTGCCCTGCTGGTCAAAATGACGGCGGCCGACGTGAAGACCATCGTCCTGGTGAGGGTCACCATCAACGACAGCCTGTTCGTCCTCTGCGCCGTCTCGCTGTCCGTCTGCCTCTACAAGGTCGCCAAGATGTCGCTGGCCAACATCTACCTGGAGTCTAAGGTAAAGTCTTTAAAGATAACAACTAAAGGTTTAGTCTCTAGAGTCAAGCAATTAGTAATAATCCCAAAGATGTTCACTGAATAACTTCCCTTAGCTTTCAACCTCAGGTCACTGACCCTGATATTTCCTTCCATAATATTCCAGGTTTTCATGACTGCAGTTAATTCCATCAGATGTAATAAGTCTAAGGTATAGTCTTTAAAAATAACAACAACTAAAGCAAGTAATAATCCCAAATAACTTCCCTTAGCCTTCAACCTCAGGTCGCGATCTTGTGCAGCGTCCCTAACCCTGATATTTACTTCTTGAATATTCCACGTTTTCATGACTGCAAGAAACAAAATCATTAATTCCATCCGGCATCACATACATTAGTTTAGTGTATTGGTTTATAGTGTCGTGGACAGTCCCCATTGATCAACTGTCACACAAAACAGTAGATGGGGCAGCTTTAGCCAACATTGCTAATGTCCAGCTGTTGTCCCCGGCCAGATGATAATGGACAGCTTTTTTAAATCACAATACATCAACAGCATTAGTTATAAAGAAAGGATCAAAGACAAGTAGATACAGGCGAAAGGATAAAAGAGAACAATAAAATGCAAAAAACACACATTACTACATACATGTCACATATAGCGCATAACAAATGTTAATTCAAATGAATAACAATGAGTGATATATGTGTGTGTGTTTAGGGGACGTCGGTGTGTCAGGTGACTCTGATCGGCATCATGGTGGTTCTGCTGTACGCGTCGCGCGCCTGCTACAACCTGGTGGTGCTCGCCCTCACTAACATCGAGACCATCAACTCCTTCGACTACGACTGGTACAACGTCTCAGACCAGGTGAGGCTCTTTGGTTTTTTTCTCCAATTGATTGATGTTTTAGCTGATGAATCAGAATCAGAAACAGGTTTATTACCAGGTAGGTTGACACATACGAGAAATTTGACTAGGTGTTGTGGTGCATACATACAAAAATAAATAATGAAGAGTTAAAAAACAAGGAGAATATCGGAAGGGGATGAAAAACAGGAAAGCAACACAAGCTGTCAAACATATGTAATTTTTTTTCAGTTTTGTTCTAGTGTAAATGTACTGCATGTCTCTAGATCAGTGCTTCTCAAAGTGTGGTCCGTGAGCGCCCACTAGTGGTCCGTGAGTATATTGGTAAATTTTCACATTTGAAATAAATAAATACATTTAAGTTTTCCGCACTCTAGCGGGAATATCTCCGCAATGGAGCGAGGTTAAGTTTCACTTTTGATTGCATGATATAGCCCAGCGCAACACCTTCATCACACATGTTGCCACTTGTTTGTACCATTTTCAGGCAATTTGTAATCTGTTCTAGAAAAACGATGTGTTTTTTGATATTTGTGGAGTTAGGTGGTCCACGAGTGTTTTTTGATTGGTTAAGTGGTCCTTGGTATGAAAAAGTTTGAGAAACACTGCTCTAGATTATAGTTTGTTCCTCTGCAGCCTTACTGTCATGGTCTCACATGACTGAAATTAGCCAATCAGAAAATTCCACTTGCCAGTCCACCTGTTTTTCCTGCAATGGGGGGCCCGAGAGCACACACACTTTCACACACTTTTCTGAGTTTTCTATCTCAATGAGGACAGTTTCTGAAATTCACACAGAGCATTCAATTAAACCAAATGTTCAAGCATTTTGCTTGTGTGGACCAGCTAAAAGGTCCTCACAAGAAGAAATGTACTATATATACATGTATATATACACTCTGTATATATGTTTGGTTATAATACATTGTATTACAACACAGTGCACAGTTTTTTGCCATTAGACTGCTTAACTCTATGAGCTCTATGACGTTTATTTGATATACTGTAATAGCAGCAGCAAGCAAAGCATAGAGAGAGGTCTGACAGGTTAAATAGAGCGGCATGTTAAGGAGACTCTGTTTGGTTGGTTGTAGAGTGGCAAGGGGCGTTATGTATGAATGCAGCATAAGTGCTCGAGTGGACTGCCTGAACTAGCTCGCAAGCTTCGCCCCATTCAAGTTGCATTGTTGGAGGAGTCGGGGACATAATAATTTAATTTCCATTTCTACATTGTAGTTAGTAGTTGATGTGCACATGACAAATAAAGCCTATATGTATTATAAATGTAAAAATATATAAATATAGTCCAATGCAACAGCAACTGCTTAATACAGTGGATAAAGAAACTGACTTTGGTACAGTAGATGACTGGTTCAATTTCCGGTCTGGACTTTAAAAAATAAATAAAAATGTATATTGTAAACACCTCAATTTGATAAAAAATAATCTAATTCCAATCTAATTAAAAAAACTCTAATATTGTTATATTGGGAGCAATCAGTATCCAGGTTCCAAAAAAAGGATAATGAGGCAGAGCTCATTTGAACTGTTCTGTATAGGACTGCAACTAGAGCATTTTAAGTTATTTCAGCAAATGACTTACTCCATGAATCAATTGTTTAGAATTTAGATCATTGTATTTCAATTTAAAGTAATATAGACTTTTTTTAAAAATGTATTTAGTTATATTCCAACTATGTAAGCAATTATATCAGTGTTTTTAGTATTAGTGATTTTTATTGTAGTTCTACAGTAGCACTAATTATAAAAATGTTATCAGTTGCACTGGAATTTTTGTTCACTGTTTCATTTTAATAATACCTTATAATGTCATTTGTAGAAAAAATAAACGTAATCTTTTCTTAAAT